TGCCTAAAAATGTTAGAGTTTTCATTCAAATGTAGTGTCAAGCATCGTAAAAGCGAGTTTGTGGTGTGACCAACATAAAATTTTATATATATGCATATAATTACTTCAAATGTTAACTGAAACCTTGTAGTTCAAATAAATGCCCCAGTTTCATTTTAAACAGATTATATTATGTCTATCTACCTGTGCATTCAAGAAATCTTAATAAAGTTCCCTGGCAGGGATTGAACCTGCATCCCCTTCATAGTGGAAACCACTGTTTGGTTTGGTATGTTTTCTTCACTCGGTTTATTTTTCTCAAACATTCATATCTGCTCAGTTTTATATATAAAACCTAAACAAATCAATTTTTACATTATGAACAGGGGTGAAATTGGAAAGCTGTGCTCAAATTCCACTTGAGTTCCAATACTTATACACAAATTCCCTTGGGAAAGAAATTAATCCATCTCTTCTCTCCAACTACTGTGAATTAAATAGTAACACAAACTGGGTTCTGTAGCCTTGGTTGGTAACCAGTCTACTGTAGAAAATAACAGCAGCTTAGTGTGGGAACTCTTCTGCCAAGTCAATCATGAATTGAAAGAGATATGATCCCCAAGATGTGTATCACGCACCTAAGTAAGGACAGTTCTCATTCTTGCTATAATTAATCTTGATCTTTAATTCTGGGTCCAAATCAGTTATTTCTCACCCTATTTCTATTGTACCACCTGGCCAAGGGATTGAACTTACAATTACTTTCAGAAAATTCAGAAACAAACACTTTAAACCTCTAGATTATTTATGAAAAGGAACATAGTGTTTTTAAAAAAAATAAAAGAAAACATTTTGTTACCCAGCATTTGTGTGTGTGGTTGTACTCTTAAATGTCCTAAAAAAAAGTATATACACAATTTACGAGCCCATAAAGCATTTTAGTCTTTCCTTTTTTTTTCTTCTCAAAATTGGTCATGGGATAATAACAGATTTGTATTTGGACAATAGAAAGTTGTACTTGAAAGGCAAACAATGTAAATTGAGTCTTTGTACATTAATAGTTACTAACAATAAAAACCAGAATACACTTTGATAGATAGATAGAAAGAAGGAAAGATATATATATATATATATATATATATATATATATAGATATAGATAGATAGATAGATAGATTTTGAACAGACTGAGATAAGGTGAATGGACAAATAGATCTGAACAAACACAGACTGGATAGATAGATAGATATGAATGAAATGAGATACGTAGATAGTGATAAACCAAATTTAATTGACAGATAGATAGATAGATAGATAGATAGATAGATACATAGATACATAGATAGATAGATAGATAGATAGATAGATAGATATAGGTATGTATGTATGTATCTGTATGTAGATGTGTCTCTGTACGTATGTGTAATTGTTTTCTTCATATAATAGCCTGATTTTTATCAGAAACACTTGTAGTCATTTCCGAATGCTGAAAAGCCATTTCCTTCTTTATTTTTAAGTCTTTACATACAGGCTGAGGACTAAAACTTAAAGAAATTTTAGGTCAGAAACTGCTGATTTCTCAGTTCAAGGTATCTATATCCACTTTGAAGCACTGCTCGTGTGTTTTTCATTTATTCTGTGAATGACTACACTTTTTTCCATCAAGATTTGTGGGAAAGGGACAAAGTATATAGTTTGTATATGCCTTAATATTTTTAGTCAGATTTCGAGGAGAAAATAGGTAAATATTAAAAAATCAACTTTTTAAAATCACAATATCTGTTCACAGAATAAATGTACAAATATTTATGATATCACTGCATATGCAATATATTGACATTGACAGACAGACAGACAGACAGATAGATAGATAGATAGATAGATAGATAGATAGATAGATAGATAGATAGATAGATAAGGAAAGATATCAACAGATAGCTAGATAAGGAAAGAAATTGCCAGGTAGATAGATATGGGAAGACATTGCCAGATAGATAAGGAAAAACATTGACAGACAGACAGATAGATAGATAGATAGATAGATAGATAGATAGATAGATAGATAGATAAGGAAAGATATCAACAGATAGCTAGATAAGGAAAGAAATTGCCAGGTAGATAGATATGGGAAGACATTGCCAGATAGATAAGGAAAAACATTGACAGACAGACAGACAGATAGATAGATAGATAGATAGATAGATAGATAGATAGATAGATAGATAGATAGATAGATAAGGAAAGATATCAACAGATAGCTAGATAAGGAAAGAAATTGCCAGGTAGATAGATATGGGAAGACATTGCCAGATAGATAAGGAAAACATTGACAGACAGACAGACAGACAGACAGACAGATAGATAGATAGATAGATAGATAGATAGATAGATAGATAGATAGATAGATAGATAAGGATATATCAACAGATAGCTAGATAAGGAAAAGAAATTGCAACAGATAGCTATGGGAAGAAAGAAATAGATAAGGAGATAACATTGACAGGAACAGACATTGATAGATAGATAATAGATAAACATTGACAGATAGATAGATAGATAGATAGATAGATAGATAAGATAGATAGATAATAGATAGCTAGATAGAAAGATAGATAGATAGATAGATAGAAACATTGCCAGATAGAAAAGATAAACATTGACAGATAACAGATAGACAGAGATAGATAGATAATAGATAGATAGATAGGTAGATAGATAGATGGATAGATAAGAAATTATCAACAGATAGCTAAGGGAAAAGAAATTGCCATAGATAGATATGGGAAGACATTGCCAGATAGATAAGGAAAAACATTGACAGATAGATAGATAGATAGATAGATAGATAGATAGATAGATAGATAGATAGATAGATAAGGAAAGATATCAACAGATAGCTAGATAAGGAAAGAAATTGCCAGGTAGATAGATATGGGAAGACATTGCCAGATAGATAAGGAAAACATTGACAGACAGACAGATAGATAGATAGATAGATATAGATAGATAGATAGATAGATAGATAGATAGATAGATAGATGAAATTGCCAGGTAGATAGATATGGGAAGAATTGCCAGATATCAACAGATAGATAGATAGATAAAGAAAGATAGATAGATAGATAGATAGAGGAAAGATAGATAGATAGCTAGGGGAAAGAAATTGCCAGGTAGATAGATAAGGGAAATTGCCAGGTATTGACAGACAGACAGACAGATAGATAGATAGATAGATAGATAGATAGATAGATAGATAGATAGATAGATAGATAGATAGATAAGGAAAGAAAGAACATCAACAGATAGCTAGATAAGGAAAAGAAATTGCCAGGTAGATAGATATGGGAAGACATTGCCAGATAGATAAGGAAAAACATTGACAGACAGACAGACAGATAGATAGATAGATAGATAGATAGATAGAGATAGATAGATAGATAGATATAGCTAGATAAAAATAGATATAGAAGATAGATAGATAGATAATAGAAAAACATTGAGATGAATAGATCAACAGATAGCTAGATAAGGAAAGAAATTGATGAATAGATAGGTAGATAGATAGATAGATATGGAAGACATTGCCAGATAGATAAGGAAAAAAAACATTGACAGACAGACAGATAGATAGATAGATAGATAGATAGATAGATAGATAAGGAAAGATATCATAGATAGATAGAAAGAAATTGATATCAGATAGATATGGGGAAGACAGATAGATAGATAAGGAAAAAAATTGACAGACAGACAGATAGATAGATAGATAGATAGATAGATAGACAGATAGATAGATAGATAGATAAAAAATATTGACTAGATAAGACAAAGAAACAGACAGATAAGATAGATAGATAGGAAAAACATTGACAGACAGACAGATAGATAGATAGATAGATATAGATAGATAGATAGATAGATAGATAGATAGATAGATAAGGAAAGATATCAACAGATAGCTAGATAAGGAAAGAAATTGCCAGGTAGATAGATATGGGAAGACATTGCCAGATAGATAAGGAAAAACATTTACAGACAGACAGATAGATAGATAGATAGATAGATAGATAGATAGATAATAGGAAAGAAAGATATCAACAGATAGCTAGATAAGGAAAAAGAAATTGCCAGGTAGATAGATATGGGAAGACATTGCCAGATAGATAAGGAAAAACATTGACAGACAGACAGACAGATAGATAGATAGATAGATAGATAGATAGATAGATAGAAAGATAGATAGATAAGATAAAGAAATTGCCAATAGATATGGGAAGACATTGCCAGATCAACAAATAGCTAGATAATAGGAAATAGATAGAATTGCCAGATAGATAGATAGATAGATAGAAGACATTATCAACAGATAGATAAGAGGAAAAAATTGACAGACAGATAGATAGATAGACATAGATAGATAGATAATAGATAGATAGATAGATAGATAGATAGATAAGGAAAGATATCAACAGATAGCTAGATAATAGAAAGAAATAAGGAAAGATATCAATAGCTAGATAAGGAAAAGAATTGCCAGATAGATAAGGAAAACATTGACAGACAGACAAACATTGACAGATAGATAGATAGATAGATAGATAGATAGATAGATAGATAGATAGATAAGGATAAGATATCAACAGATAGCTAGATAAGGAAAGAAATTGCCAGGTAGATAGATATGGGGAAGACATTGCCAGATAGATAAGGAAAAAACATTGACAGACAGACAGACATAGATAGATAGATAGATAGATAGATAGATAGATAGATAGATAGAGATAGATAGATAGATATCAAGGATAGCTAGATAAGGAAAGAAATAGCCTAGATAGATAGGAAAATTGCCAATAGATAAGGAAAAAACATTGACAGACAGACAGACAGATAGATAGATAGATAGATAGATAGATAGATAGATAGATATTATCAACAGATAGAGGATAAGGAAAGAAATTGCCAGGTAGATAGATGGGAAGACATTAGATAAGGAAAACATTGACAGACAGACAGATAGATAGATAGATAGATAGATAGATAGATAGATAGATAGATAAGATATCAACAGATAGCTAGATAAGGAAAAGAAGATAGATAGGTAGATAGATAGATGGAAAAACATTGACAGATAGATAGATAGAAAACATAGATAGATAAGATATTGGATAGATAAGGAAAACATTGATAGATAGATAGATAGATAAGATAGATAGATAGATAGATAGATATAGATAGCTAGATAATAGATAGGAAAGAAAGATATCAGACAGAGATAGATAGATAAGGAAAGATAGAAGAAAACATTGATAGATAGATAGAAAGATAGATAGATAGATAGATAGGATAGATAGATAGATATTGATAAGGAAAGATATCAACAGATAGATAGATAAGGAAAGAAATTGACAGATAGATATGGGAAGACATTGCAGACAGATAGACAGACAGATAGATAGATAGATAGATAGATAGATAGATAGATAGATAGATAGATAGATAGATAAGGAAAGATATCAACAGATAGCTAGATAAGGAAAGAAATTGCCAGGTAGATAGATATGGGAAGACATTGCCAGATAGATAAGGAAAAATTGATTGACAGACAGACAGACAGATAGATAGATAGATAGATAGATAGATAGATAGATAAGAAAGATATCAACAGATAGCTAGATAAGGAAAGAAATTGCCAGGTAGATAGATATGGGAAGACATTGCCAGATAGATAAGGAAAAACATTGACAGACAGACAGACAGATAGATAGATAGATAGATAGATAGATAGATAGATAGATAGATAGATAGATAAGGAAAGATATCAACAGATAGCTAGATAAGGAAAGAAATTGCCAGGTAGATAGATATGGGAAGACATTGCCAGATAGATAAGGAAAAACATTGACAGACAGACAGACAGATAGATAGATAGATAGATAGATAGATAGATAGATAGATAAGGAAATACAGTGACAGATTACATTGAGATATCTATGGAAAGACTTAGATAAGCTAGATTGGGATAGATATGGAAAGATATATATAGATTAGATTAAGACAGTTATGGAAAGACAGGTAGATTAGATGGATATGGATAGACAGGGATAGATAGATCAATTAGATTAAGATAGATATAGAAAGACATGGATAGATTAGATTGAGATAGATCTGGAAAGATATGGATAGATTAGATTGAGATAGATCTGGAAAGATATAGATAGATACATAGATAAGGAGAGAATGAGATTGATTGCACTTTTGCTATGTTTTCTTTTATACACTGTCTGCAATGGTAAGTATCTCTGGATGACCCTCTTCTTGAGGCATAGACATATAAACTTTTTTCTCAGAATTATAATAGTGTTTTACAGGTTTTCTAATATAAGCAAAACTAATAACCATCAGGAATATGTGGGTCGGTTATAGTCCAGGCAAAAGAACACCCACTGACAAAAAATACAAATATGAAAAAGAGAATATATGAGAATAGAACATGGCAATCAGTAAAAACCACAAATCCTATCGCATTCAGATCTATTATGGAATTGGTTGGTCGGTTCAGTATCTTTTTCTTGGTGGCAAGTGTCCATGAGATGCTATCAAGGATTTGAGAAGCTTGTTCTTGACTTGACTAAAATCTTTATCTTTTCTGGAGAAGCAATGGAGTGGTGGGGTTGGGAGATGTATCCATCTTGGCATCTTCATATAAGAGGCCTCCAGAAGCTGCTTTGATTGAGCAGGGCACTGGGGATTTCAATAATCTGTTTTGGCATACATCCTGCTGCAGGGAATTTTTTTTTTTTTAATTATTTTTTTTCTTTCTTTCTTTTGCTCTTAGGTTCAGCAAATTCTCACAGAACAGTGCTGCATAAAACCATACTGAGATCTCATGGATTTTGTAAGATGAGATTTTCAAGGCAAGTTGTTTATTGATTCCAGTGTTTATTTGGCAGATATATTTTGTAAGGTTGTTCCTATTTCTTTTCTTTTTTTTTTTGTATATTGCTAAAATAGAACCATATTTTATTGCTATATTATTATACTTGCTAGTCAAAGAAGTAGACTGCTTCAAAAAAAAACAGGTTTTTTTCACTATCACACTAATTTAGGCTTTTATAATCTGTGATAGGTACACAGTTTTATTAGCACTTTAAAATGGACATTTTAAATGTATATGATAAATACATAAAAAAAAGCAAAGGTGGAGAAAAAGTCAGAATAAGAAAGAAAAAAATTACTCATGGTAAAGTGCTAGACTGAAAAATATAACAAGAAAGTAAATAATAAAAACAGCTAACCAGTTATCACTCCTTGCTTTTCAGAGCCAGTTGATTACAAAAACATATGTTCATAACACCTAAAAAGTGGGGAAAATACTACTAGATACTTATCATTATAAATAACAGAAAAATTACATTTAAATTCAACAGCTATTCCTTCTACTTGCAGAGGGAAGGCTGCTTAGTCTTAATATAAATATTCTCAAGAATTCTCAAAGGGTAATCCAGTGATTAGAGGAGATAGCTAGCTAATGCTTTTTGATTGTTTCTATTTTTGCTGTTATATTTTGAGGACAAATAACATAGATGGAAAATTCTTTAGAAGCAGAGGACAAATGGTAAAGATGGAAAATGCTTTAGAAATGGAGGACAAATGGCAAAGACAGATGGTTTGACAAATCAAAGATTAGCTCTAACGATCTTGATATAACCTGTTTGGATGAATATACCATACAAGGATTGGTCTTGAGAGCCTCCAAATCTATAGACAAGGAGTTGAGAGAAGGTGAGGATAGCACCAAATTAAACATTCAGAAATACAGAATAGCCGATGATGAATGTTTTTATCACATTCATTGGAGTTCAAGTTAGGAAAAATAATCAAGATTAAAATAAAGAAACTTTCCAAGAAATCACTTACTTAAATCCACCGTTCACAAGGATTGGTTGATGCCCCAGACTTGGGACAGCGTCATTCATGAGTGGATGGGACTTGATGAAATTTAGTGTCTGGTCAGGAATCATCTTTGAGTTTGGTTGACACTGTAAAAGATAAAAAGCTTGTGATAATTTCAAAAAAAAAAGAGGAAAATTATGGGACAAACTCTAGTCATTTGGAAATGAATGGTAATGCTAATATTAGCTGTTTCCTTATAAGGAAACATTTGACATTGCTTAACTGAGCAGGCAGTACAAATGTCAGTTGTAATATATTAAATTTTTCTCTTAAAACAATTTTACAGGAAAATAGGTAAGTCTAGTAGCTATTCTACCTCTTTCTATTATAAATAGAGTTTTCCTCTCTAACCTTTTGTTTGAAATAGTAGAGAACATCTACATCTTAATCATGTGTTTATTTTCTTTTTGCATTACATGTGCTATCCATTTTAATAGTTGCTGTCATTGAAAGTCCTAAAGTGATGTAGTGTCTGTTATTTGCTACAGTTCTTTGTGAATCTGTAACACTAGTCCACAAGGTTTGAAGAAATTTGATCTTTACCAAGACCATTGACCTTCACTTGCTCAAAATGATTTTTAGCCATTGATCTAAGAAAGTGGTTGTATACAGCAGAGAGTTTAACTATTTCTGAATGAGTTTGGTGTCATGCATGTCATCTTTAAGAAAGTTTTGATCTAATGGGATTATTTAAGAACATGGTTTTAGGTTAATGTTTCAGTTTTGTAGCAATTTCAGGTGTGGAGCAAAACTATCCCTAGCACAGGAAGAGCAAAAAGAAATATTGTAATGCCTTAATTACTAAGGCCTGATTCCTGAATCTTATAATTTATATATTTCTTTTTGGTGCCCATGATAAGTGTTCAAGTATTGGTAAAATCTGAGAGTTTATTTCAAAAACTTATTTTTAAGACAGACAAGTCATTCATTTTTGGAAGATTATTAAAACTTTATATTTCCCTCCAAAGAATATTAGACATTCATTTTTTCATTAATCCCTTTAGAAAAATTAAGAATCTGTCTCTTTTCACTCCTGCTATGGGTTAAATAGCAGAGGAGACTGAACTTACTAGACTTAGGTGACAACTTGTCTAAGCAAAACTCTGAATTCTAAAGTATGGTGAAGACAAGAGAAAATTCCTCCAATATCTTTCCCAAGAAGTCATAGCAATTCTCAGATAATAAAAAGAAAGTTGTGGAGAGCCATGATCACATAAGTCCTGAAGAGATAGGGCATTAAAAAGAAAGGCAAACAGTATAAATATCAGCTGCACCACAAGGATGAGCTGCAGAAAAAAATATAAAGAAGGAAAGAACAAACAGGAATGGTTCCAATTTTTTAAGTATTTATTAAAAAGAAATTCTGCCATTAATAGCTTAAGCTTTCTTTGAAGTGTACGATTTGAACAACAGAGAAATATAAAAATAGAATATTGACTATTTATTTCCTCAGTTCAAACTGATAGCAAATGTAGCAAAATACGTTGTTTTTTATACATGGCTTTTTGATTATTTTCCCACCTTTTCTTCTTTCATTTTATCACATTCTTTTTCATCTGCTTTTATCTGTGGCATCATCAGTTCTATTTTTACACTTTTTTTATCCTTTTGTATCTTTTTTTTTTAATTAAATGAAACACATTTAGTCATTATTAATCTATTTCTTTAATTTTTATTTCAATTGTTTCCCTTACACCAATTGTAATAGGAATGATATTAAAAATTTTATTATTATTAGATGAAACATTGTCAAGCATTTTTAATTTTGACTGATATTATTTCATCTTAATTACATTTGCCTTTTATTTTATTGGTTGTAATAATAGTAATATTTTTGTACATTTTATTATTAGATAAAACATTGTCAATCAGAATAAATTATTGTCTTGTATTTCTTTCATCTTAATTTCAATTGGTTTTCATCACAACTAATGAGACATCAATCTACAGTTAGTAGTAATATTATCTTTATTATTTTTATCTTTAATATTTGCACAATTTGAACAATATAGACCCTTCAGCAGGATTCAAACTTGCATACTCTAGGTGAAATTGTCATTAAATCTGATGTGCCTTAGACCAACTCAGCCACATAGGACCTCCTCCTATATATATATATATATATATATATATATATATATATATATATTTTATTTTAGGATATTACATCAAAAACATGTAAAAAAATACTACACAAAACGTAATCATGTTTCAATGTGGATTAACATGTCTCATCAGGCATTAGTAACTAAAGCGTGAGGAGATGTGTTAATACGCATTGAAACATGATTGCATTTGTGTAGTATTTTTCACATGTTTTTGATGAATATCTTAGAATAAAGAATATTGCTCTATTATCGTATCGAGGCCTCTTTTAAATTGAATGTTACGAACATCAGAATTGAATTCAATTCGTTCCCATTTCATATATATAAATATATATATATTAATAATAAATAAAATTAAATGTAAACAGTCCCTTTTGTGTTCATATAATCATTTATTTAAATCCCTCAAGGTTTCTCCTATGTATTCCTTGTGGCAATTATCACAGGTAATAGAGTAAAATAGTTCTTCAATTTTTAGCTTATTATATTATTCAGTCCCTTGTTACCTGTTTAGGATTAGGTTTCTGGTTTCTTTTAAAGTATACTTCAACCCTATACTTCTAATGTCTCCACATGAACTCTGAAATTTTATTTACTAATTATTTTTTTTCCTCAATAGGAGTAGATAGATTTGCCTATCGTCTGGTTTGCACTACTTTCCAATCTTTTGAACAGAAGTAAAGGTTTATCACTTGTTACCTGTTTAGGACTGGGTTTCCAGTTCTTTCGAAAGTCTTTTCATTCTCTTTCACTCCAAGTAGCCTCTTGTGTATTAGTAGAATTATTGCCATTATTGGTACGAAATGATTATATATATATATATATATATATATATATATATATATATATATATATATATATATATATAAAAAAGAATTATATTGTTGTTCTTTACTCCATGATACTATTCAAATTTTCAAGCATGTAGCAATTATGAAGCATAAACTTATGACTTAAATTTAGGTTTAAAATCTATCAATCTACCCATCTATCTTTAGGTAAGTAGATAGATAGATAGATAGATAGATAGATAGATAGATATAAACTTACATCAGTAGATATGTATATAGATAAATATAGATAGATATAAACTTACATAGGCAGACAGCATGACAGATAGATAAATATAAACTTACATAGATAGATAGATAGATAGATCTAAATTAGATATAATCTTAGATAGATGGGTAGATAGATAGGGACATAGATATATAGATATAAACTTAGATAGATATATAGATATAAATTTAGATAGATAGAAACTTAGATAGATAGGTAGATATAAACTTGGATAGATAAATATAAACTTACATAGATAGATAGATAGGTAGATAGATATGAACTTTCATAGATAGATAGATAGATAGACAAACATTGACACCTGCAAACATTATCTTTGATACTGAACATTCTTCCACCATAAATATACACAAATTTTAAATAATCTATGCATGTGTGTGCATGCATCACATGTGAGTTTTCTTCCAAACATCATAAAGGAATTTTTGTTTGAGGACATGCACAAATAACTTATTTGCTTCTTGAAAGGACCAGAAATAATATTCCATAAGACTTTGAATATAAAAATAAGTCATAAAGAAGTAATATTTATCTTGAGAGAACACATGGAGGACACTCTAGCCAGCAGAAAGAAAATGAAAAAAAAAGATATGAACAACTTACCCCTTCTGGGTGTGGCTTTGGGGTGTCCTTCTCATGAACTGCCAACCAATTGTGAAGTGCAGTTTTCTGGCCCTTAAAACGACTCTTAAATGTTTTGTTGACATCTCCCATGGAGAAAGCACAAACTGCTGATGCTGGGACACTGTTGCTGTAAGGGAAAGAAAACAAATAAGTTGAATAAATGATAGATTTCTTTTTTTAATAATTTCAATCCAAGCAAGGCAATAAAGCCACAAAGATGTAAGGGGTTAATAAATGTGAAAGAATATTTAAGTGTATAATAATTCTTGTTTGTCTATGTGAGATTCAGATGATTATGTATATTCACAAGTAAGTAAAAAAGAATTATTATACACTTACATACATATAATAATATATATGGTCAGGTTTGAAACCTGTTACCTTCTTGGAACTTTGAATGTGTATGCAGGCTCTCCCGAAATCCTGAATGCCACAAATTATACTAATGCTTGTTTAACAAGCTGAATACACAGGAAACATTATTAACCAATGAAAATCAAAAAGCACAAAAATAAAAAAAAATACCAGAATTTCTTTCTTTTTTTTTCAATATAATCAGACCAGGGAATTTTCTCTCAAGGATGCTGAGTACTTTTTCATGTGCTTCTGTCTTTCATTACTAAAATATGTTAGTGTTACGGAGTGGTTTCACAGTGGAAGCTTGTATTTGTACTAAGTTGGTCCTAAAATAGGTTCGACGTACAAAACGTTAGGAACTTGATATAATAGGTAATGACACAGAGAAATCTAGTTGCGGTCACTAATACTTTAGTATCCGACTAACGGTCATCCGGCATCGACTGACTGACCGAACCCCTGAGTGACTCCCTTGTTACTCTTACTACTCCTACTTATTATAGGTGGGAGAGTCTATTAACTATAGAATAGGTATGTTCCACTATAACAGTTAGCTACCTTTGTTTCCTTTATCGTTCCTCCTCTTTGCAGGACTGCAGCATATTAGACATAATAGTTGACAATATAGAAAAGGCACTTTCTCTCCATCCATCTGTGAACATCTTTGTCTTAAATGACTTTAATGCCCACCATGACATGTGGCTGAAACATTATAGAGGTACTGATGTTGCTGGTATTCAGACATTAAATTCTTTTAATTGCCTAATCCATTACTCAAATCATGTACTTCCCTACTCGTTTCCTGAGCAAAACCAAGAAAACAAGCTTCTCTGCTTGATTTATTATGGTAGTTATTGATATTTCATTCAAATCATCCATTGAACTGGAGCCTCCTATCCATAAGACCTCTTTCTCTTATCAGCATGCTGACTGGGACTGTGATTTTTTTTGTGATTCCCCATGGACTGACATCTTTAACCTTCCAAATGAAAATTGTGCCACTGAGGTTTCTGATATGTTCCAGAAAGGGATATATTTGAACGAAGTAGCTAAGTGGTTTTGGCTACTATAAATAAGTAGAATACGGTAGCAGTAATCGACTGGTATGCGTTGTAGTCACAGGTAAGAAGTGTAGATCAATGGCGTAGTCCAATGAGCGTTGTTATAGACTTAGCTCTCAGACTAAGGCTTTTGACTCTCCTACATGTCTGTCAGTATTTATGACGGACACCAGCCAATCATATTCCAGTGAGGGGGGAACACAGGTGTATGCATATTCCATTATATCAGTTTCTTCTTGGGTCAAAGCTAGCAAGGATACATTTATCCCTTCTCAGAAATACCAAGTGAAACCTCAATCCTCTCCATGGTTCACACCAGCATGCTTGGCCACTATAGCGCACAGGAATCACTAATTTCAGCTATACTAGTGCAACAGTTTTCATCCCAACAGTGCCTATTTGTTACTGTTCATAATAAATGTGAGTTCTTGAAGGAGCTAAGTCCTTTTTTGCCAAGAGAATGAAGCACCACATACTGTCTTACAACTCTTAGGATTACTGATGGCTCAGTAATAGTGTATTAAATAAGTGCAAAATCATTATTCCCCACCTCTTCAGTCAGTTTGTGGTACCATTATCCCCTGATGATAAAGCTGAATGCTTTGACCGTAAATTTTCCTTAAACTCTATTCTTGACTCATCTGGAGTATCTTTGCCTAACTTCTCCGTTAGAACTGAATTTCTGCTGTGTAATTTGCATATAACCCCCCTTCCATGGTTTCTGCTATCATCTCTAACTTAGATCCCTACAAAGTATGTAGACACAATGTAATAGTCATTAAAATGTGTGCTCCCAAACTGGCTCCTGTTCTCTCTAAACTATATAATAAATTCCTTGCTGCTTCCTGCTTTCCCACCTGCTGGAAGTCTTCATCTGTTGTTCCAGTTTTTAAGAAATCTGCAGAACCATCCAGCCCATCCACCTCTAAGCCTATTAACCTTCTACTTCTTTTTGGGAAACTTCTAGAGGCCCTAATCAAAGCTAGATTAATTCATCCTCTCTCATCACAGGGCCTTTTCTCAGACAAGCAATACAGCTTTCATTTCTCCAGGTCATACTGATGATAATTATGAAAAGAGTCTCTCATGCTCCAGATAAAAATGCTGAAGCCAAAGCTGTAGCATTGGGCATCTCAAAAGCCTTTGACATGGTCTGTCATACATGTCTTCACTACAAGCTGAAAAGTTATAGTGTTGCCACAGACATTTTTGAGATGATCCATTCTTTCCTATCAAATGGTGAAATCAAATGACCACTCATCTTGATCCTTTTGTACCAACTCCTTCTTCCTATACTGTTTTTAATTTTTCATTAACAAGCTTCCTGATGATATCAGTTCTCAACTTGGCATCTATGCTGATGACATGACCATTTGCTCCTGCATTGATAGTAAGGCTGATCAGTCCAACAAGGTCAAAATGGCCGCTGATGTTCAAAATGAACTCAAGTCCATCATTAACTGGGGTAAAATTTTCATGCCAGTTTTTCTCTATTTGTAGCTTTCAAAGTCATTAATTAAAATAGAAAAAAAAAGAGCAATTAATAAACAAATATTCATGGGATATCCTGATACCCCACCAGCCCCTAACTTGCCAAATTTAAATTCTGTTTAACATATCTAGAGCATTTTGTAGAATTTATTAATTTCCTAATATGTTACATATGAACAGTCCTTGAAAATGCCTAGATACATATTTCTACATAATGAATCTAACACCTTGTGGATTTCATACCAATTGGCAAATTTCAAATGAAAATGGGAACTCCAGATGTTTATATAGTTATCTCTTATTTCTGGTAATTCAGTTTATTCTAGACAAGATTCAAAGAAGATGCAATGTCATAGGTCTTAACCTGTCATCTTGGCTTCAGTAAATTTCACACAGCCATAACATAGCTTCTCTTTGCCTTTTTAATAAATAAAATTAAAGGTTCACTGATCTTATCTGTCTATTCATAATAGGTGTATATACTCAAATATTCATGTATATTTACTTACTCTGGGGTGTTGAAGATCGCATAGAAGATGTCCGAGGCTGCATGTTTATCTACTGATGAGATGTGATTTCCTTTAATGACACCAGTAGAATGCACTGCAAGAAAAAATAAATAACATCTAAATTATTAGATTTCTTTGACATTTATATTACATAAAGTGTCGTCGAAGTAAAACAGCTATATATTACACCTTGTCTATCAGAGTTTTCAAAATAATGACAACATTGATTTGGGGGTCCCTTCATCCCTAATTTTACCTCCCCATTGTTCCAGATAAAATGCTTAGAATTTGCAATAAAATTTGCCTGATAATCACAAGTCCTAAATCTGGGAAAATTCTTTGTTATATTTTTGAGATAATTTAGTATTTACTAGTGACAATATAAGGTTCTGAAAACTGATTTTACACAGTGATAGAAATATAATAATATAACATTACACACACACACACACACACACACACACACACACACACATATATATATATATATATATAATTATTTATTTAAAAGTATGATTCCAAATCGCGACATAAGAAGTCCCATGTTTCAAAACAAGAGCCGAAAACATCAATATAATTATTTAAATTATTTAAATTAAATTGAGTTAAAATAAGCTCTGTTCCATCTTCAAGCGAAATTTTTTTTTGGGATCCAAAAATTTTGGTTCCAAAAAAAATTTATTGAAGTTTTCGGCTGTTGTTTTGAAACATGGGACTTCTTATGTCGCAATTTGGAATCATATTTTTAAATAAATAATTATATTTATGCTCTACTTTTGTATCGAGCACTATTTTTTAAAAATAATAACTAAAATACTAAGGGACTTTGGATTATTTACCTAACTAGTTCCTTCCTATTTTCTATATATTTTCATATATATATATATATATATATATATATATATATATATATATGCAATGTCCATAAAATCACTATGATGATGGCTCATGTGAGCCAAAAGCTTAGATCAACGACTAACATAATAAAGAAATATCCAAATATTGGACAGTTTTTGTCTTTATTTTCTCTTGAAACTAAATCCATTATACAATTCTTGGAATGGCTCATGATCAAACATAATAGACATTCGTTGTCTGTTATATTTAATAATATATGTCTGAATAATGACCTGCTATGCCTATACACTAAATGTCCATATATATGTACATTTTTTTGCTCATAGGTAGCACAATTCTGAATTTCATGCACAATACCATCGTCAGGTGCTGATTGCTACCAGTGAGGAAAAAATTTATACTTATTATTGATATAATTAATTATAGGTCTGTTGCTATACATCAAGCACTATTTCATTCACACCAGTGCTCAATGTGTGATATATATGTGTGTGTTTGTGTGTGTGTGTGTGTGTGTGTATTTGAGTAGCAATCCCTCTTTTATACAAGTTTTGTTAAAAATGAATGACAAGGTACTACAGTTGAGATTTTATTTAATTCTTCTTGTGTTCTTATAATTTCTTTTCTGGACATAAATTATGCAGAAATTGTCCAAATGTTCTGTATGTCTGAATGTTTTCAGATATACTTTTAGCCATTATCAAGTATGATTTTATTTTTACTTTTAACTGAAAATATGTACTGTTTTATGCATGTATCTAGAATTATAGGAATGTTTTATTTCCCAAACATGGTCAGCACATTGTGGCTGTGTTCATAGTTGATGTCAATGACTGCTAGCTTTTTCTTTTTTATTAATAATGCTTCCATTTTCTACAGCCTTACTTAGTTTGGTAGGTCTTTGTATTTATTTAGATGAGGCCTAATTGAGCTACACACACACACACACACATATATATATATATATATATATATATATATATATATATATATATATATATATAGGGTGTATCAGAAATACTTTTACAAACTTTGGGGATGGGTTCCTCAAACTAAAACAATGACAAAAGTTCATATAAACATATGTTCGCAAATACTTCATATTTGACTTTTTAGTTTAGTCTGTAGAATGTGTTGTAAGTGATCAGGTGTATGAGTGGATCTTAGTCTTCCTTGATCTATACTTTGTCAGCAACACAATAATAAACTGCAGCAAACGTTGGATGGCTCAGCTACCTTCAGGCTGGAAATGAAATCTGATATAGCCAAGCAGCCCAGCATCTATTACCATTTGCACGGCTACATGTAAAAATCATATCTGCCTGCTCACGATACGAATATTCTGCCATTGCTTAATGAAACACTTGTCAGTCAACTCACTACTACACACATTAAACATTGAAGGCAGACTAACGACAAATGTACACGAATAACAAATGTAATCTAGTCTAATGTAACACAGCACCATCTACTGTAAATGTTCTTTAAACTTAAAAACTCAAAAACAAAGAATTTGTGGACATATGTTTTAAATTGACTTTTGTCCTTGTTTTGGCATAAGGAATCTACTGCCAAAAAATTTCTCATCCTATGCATTCCCACAAGTGGACAGGTTAAAGATTTTCTAGCTGCCTCTGAGATGTACTGACTGATGCGGCATTCACCCTGGGCGGATTGAGCCGGGTTCTTCCTGTTATGAGAAGAAGATTCTTGGGATAAATTACAGAAGTAGGGTACCCAGGCCTACTCGGATAACGTTCTTGCTTGCCCGGGTTCCCACAGACGCAGAGACAGGAAACCACCAGAAGCCGCCGGTTACCGATGCAGACACTCCTTGGATTTTCACCAGAGCCCTTGTTAGCGGCGTGTGTGTCAGACCTGTCCGCCTTTGGTGCCCTACCAGGAACAAAGTTCCGGCGGCATAGCTCTGACACTACTGCTTACACCCCCCCACCGACTGTGAGGTAAGGGTTGGACTTTGGGGGCTTACAGTACCAGGTGTTCCCAAGTGGTCCCCATCTAAGTACTGACCTGGCTCTCTCGATGCTTAACCGGTGATCGAACAAGAACCGGTGTTTCAGCGTGATTTGACCGTAAGCAAGAGATGAAGGCTTATGAATTTGTGTTAGCAGAGCCATCACTGATTTCTGAACAATTTTTGTCAACCCAGTTTCATTTGCAAGGCTTGGGTCATCTCTTGGTATTGTTTGCAGGCATTTCACAATGGTGCCATACATTGGGATTATCTACAGAGATCATTAATAGCAAGAAGTAGCTGCAATTTGGTAATACTTACCAACTTCATTGAAGTAGAAAGGAAACTCTCCAGGAATGGAGCAATTAAGCCGTGCCTTGTAGAAGGAAGTCCAAGTCCCAACCAGAGATCTCTTGCCACCTTCATCATTCTTGCAAACTCGTGCAATACGAGAAAAAACAGCCTGTTTAAAAACAATTAAATGAATTTAATAAAAATCAGAATTATAACAACGGAATTTGAAAGAAAGAAAACAGAGAGTACATGGATAATCCACTTGGCTTTGCCAAAAACACCCATTAATTGGCACTATTTAAGTTTTTAACAAGGCAAACATATCCTCGCGTTTTTTCCTCTTGAATCAAGATGGAGTAGTATATAGGTAAGGTGTCCCATACTGAGGCACATTCATTTCAGTGATCCTCTGTTGACTGAACTCTCACATGCATGCACATACACATAATTGTATCACTCACACAAGCAAGCACACAATTCATAGCTAGGATTTTAATATATTTTCCTTTACTTTCAATTGTGTACACATGTAATTCCTTTTGTTAATAACATGCATTTACTTGTTTGTTTTAAATGCCATTTTTTTACTATTTTTACCAGGAGTCACATAAGGCTGCCAAATATTTTTTGCTAATCAATGTTCCAGGAATGATTAAATATTTCCTGAAAAACGTCCACATCTCACAACAAAAGAGGTGATTCCCACAACATGTGTAAGAAATATATTAAAAACAAATGCCTATAGGTGTTTTGAGGAGTTTAATGTGACAGTCTTCTAAGTGAGCTTGTCTAGTTTTCTAACTTGAAATCAACATTTGAAATCTTAGACTTTACCTGAGCTAGACTTGGTGTCTCTAGGAATTTTAAAGTTACTTCAGCTACCAAGAAAGCTTTTTTATCAAGGTAAGAGGAAACGAAACATGATATGAACCCCAGAAAGGATGTTCAATGCTTACAATCACTCGCATTAATATTTCATGATAAAGGAGCATCAAACAGAGTCTCTTTTTTATGTGCCCTGTCATTTCAGGACATGGGAGATCATGGCTCTCTAGTTTCTTGTCCCTTGTAGCTCTAAGCAATATTTGTCCCCTTATTATCCCTCCCAACCTCAGTGCTTTCATCCATTGCCATAAACTGGTTAGATATTCACTGTTTTCACTGTCAGCAAGAAACTGATCCTTGTCTTCTACTCCATGGCTGTAAAGTAATAACAAAGAGGCTCAAGTCAAGACACAGCTTTCTATATTCAGTTGAACCACTGAACAACCAAGCTACTAGTGTCTGTTTCTATGTTGCAGCCACCTTAACAATCAAGAACACAGGCACTATGATCCTCTTACAGCACACCAATTAAAAATCACTAATGTATATTAAAATTCATTCAATATAATGTCAGAAAGGCATTCACTATAGATGGATACTGCTAAAATGGTTATGATGGAGTGAAGTACAATATAAATGAATGAAAAGGTAGTAAGAAATTAAGATTATCATGATAGGGAGAATAGATAATGATTGACCTTTGAAGTGAAGAGGTTAAAATTATGGAATTCAGGAAAGCTGTTCCTCAACGCAGCAGTTTTGAAGAAAAAAGTCATAAGTGTGTATTTTCGTCTTACGTTTGAAATACAGAGGAAATGAGAATGATTCACCACCATATACATAGCACAGCATGTCCTAGCTGTTATGGTCTGAATTTGTGGAACTAAGGAATGGAATATTGATAGAGTAGCCATGGAAATATCAATAGACTAGTGACAGGCAGCTCAATGTTGTATCTGCAGTAAAGAGGTTCTAGAGTGTAGATTAAGTCTTACCCCACAAGACCACATAAGTGATTTAATGTTCTACTTATTAGAAATTTATTTATTTTACGCAATACATTTGCGATATGATCTCCATCTTTGTTAATGCATTTAATTCATTTGTGGATATAGAATTATATTCAGTAAATCTCGTCTTACCTTTCCACAATTTATATTTTCAACGGCTGCTTCTCGAAAGACAAAGTAAACTTTGTCTTCATAATCAAAGGAGCTAACAAAATCAGGTTCTGTAATGGGAAACAAAAACAGACTTTAAATTTTTATCAACAAGTATCGACCATCATAAATCAGTGCAAACATACTCTTGGGTCTTGAATAAAAGGAATGGTTGAATTTTTTTTTAAATTCTTATAAGCAGAACATGTTGAAATAAGCAAAACAGTTTGAAACATCTGAGAATCATTTTGAGGAAATAGGAAAAATGTAATCATGTTAGGCAATGTAAATGCAAATTCAAAATTATATCAATGAATACTCAATGAAGGCACACAACATACATATATATTGAGGAAAAATGTATGACATGCACATGAACGAGAGATACTGGGAATTTTAAAATTAATTTTTTTTTTTCTAGCCAATTTCATTTAGATTTTTTTACTTTCTATCACTTTTGGCATTAGATATTGCATACTGTGATAATAGAAAATCTGTTAAAAACATTGAAATGTTCTAAGACCAAGGGTGCAAATTTACTGTAAATGACTCTGCGATCAAGGCACTTTCTAAACATTTTCATCATAGTGAATTGTTTTCTCCTTTGATCAGAGTAGCATTTTTATGTCAAAATTGTGGTCTGTCTGGTTACAGTAGCCAGCTAATGCATTTGATGTATTGTTTTGTAAAATGTTCTTTTTGTGTTCATATAATCTTTTATTTAGATTCCTTGAGGTTTCTCCTCTTATATATTTTTAGGACAATTATTACACATTAGCAGTAGAACCCGGTGTTGCAGTAAGAGATAGATCAAGTATCAACCATCATGAAGACTGAAATATAAAATTGACAAAGATTATTGTTTAAGGTTCACAGACACACATGTCTTAATTAGTCTTTTTCTTTTTTTTTTATGAATTGGTCAAACCCAAACTCAAACAAAAACATTGTTTTCAATTGTTATGAGTCTACTGATTGAATAGAATTTTATTATAAACAGTTGTTTTGTAAATGGAATTTTTAAAGCATTCTGAATTTAAAAATAACGAAAAAAGTGTGCAAGACAATAAGAAACACTACCTGCCAAAAAAAAGTGAAGTTTTGCTGAAATCGGTTGAAAAATGTAGGAAATCCGATCCCATATATAAACGAACACACACACACACACACACACACACACACACACACACACACACACACACACACACACACAAACAACCTGGGTTTTAGAATAAGTATAACTCGATATGAGTTGTCCCCCTTTCATTCTGGCGACAGAATCATGTTTTATCGTGTTTTCAAATTGATTTCATGCAAAAACAATTGTGTTTTTCCAATTTTTGGTGCTGTCAGAACCACTGCAAGATAATTTTACGTAGTCCTGTGAAGTTTTGTTGAAATCGGTTGAAAAATGTAGGAAATCTGATCCAATATATAAACGTACAGACACACACACACACACACACACACACAATCTGCGTTTTATAATAAGTAAGATGATTGAGTAAATTCCTCCTTCAATTTTTAGCATATTGTTTAGTTTAGCATTGAGTAAGACTTCTTTTGTTTTAGATATAGTAGTAACAAATTTTGTTATGGTACACACACACGTACATGTTTATCTTAATTTTTCTTGTTTTTTTGTTTTTTTTGTGGGGTTGGGGATGGTTGTTTTTTATGCTGGGGAATGATATTTTTTATTTACTAAAGCAGGGCTCCTTTGACATAATGTTTTGTTTACTCGATAATGTTGATAGCAATAAACACCTGCTTATTCCACGAGACACTAAGTATGGAAGTCTATGAATGGAGTCCTCATTTTACTGGTGGCACCTGTTTCATATTTTGTGATAACTGTGTAATGACAAAAGTACACAGGTGTAGGCTTTAAGGAAGCATTATTCAACTGAGGTTTGTGTATAGTGTCCTTTTATAGTCCCAGTAAACAGAAATAGCTCTCTCAAAGAGGAGAGTAACAAAACAAGAGGAGACCACTCTTGATTATTCATAACAATATGATAATCGCTATTTTGAAATCTTTTAAAACAATGCTGACATGTATGAGCCTTCCCAGCATCTGTATACACTGCGGAAATGTTTCTAAATGCTTCTGTAGCAGTGCTACATTTTTGGAATTCTTGCATTAAACTCTGGCCATTATGTTGTTAATTTTAAAGTTGTAATGCTCTTTGGGATTTATACTCTGAAATGCACTATTAAGCGAAACACTGTCGGATAGAAGAGATGATAGACTAATTCTACACAGTTTTCTCCCATTCAGCTTTGGTTCTGCTTTGGTTGGTCGGCTCATAATTCATACCGGTGAATTAGGAAATACTTTCCAAATATTCTATTAATTCTTAATGCAATTGACGCTCTGTTCCTAAACATTCAACCGAGAAAGTAAATATCAATACTCATAATAATGTAACTAAATATCTGCCATGATTCTGTTTCATCAGCTGATCGTATTTTTTTTCTATCCACTCTCTGGGGATTTTCCATGGGAAAACAGAAATGCATTTTGGTTATTTTCTTTTTCAAATAATATAATCCTTAATCAATCAAATTCTTGAACTTAGACTTAAAAAAACAAACGTGACATTTCGGAAATAACATTACTCTTATGATTCTCCAGTTTCAATCCCTGACACAGTTTATGTTAAATGATTGGCTTAGAATTATAACAGTACTTCAACGTGATGTTATGCTTAACAAGCTTGTCTTGCTAGATCAGTTATAACTGAATCGAATGTTCGATTCTCACTGGGTTCCCCATAATTTTGGCTTTGCACCACATCTAAGCTATACTAAGAAAACTATAAAGGATGGCGTTCATGGTGTTATGGTTATCAAGCTTGTCTTGCTAGATCACTTATAGCTGAATCGAATGTTCGATTCTCACTGGGTTCCCCATAATTTTGGCTTTGCGCCACATCTAAGCTATACTAAGAAAACTATAAAGGATGGCGTTCATGGTGTTATGGTTAACAAGCTTGTCTTGCTAGATCAGTTATAACTGAATCGAATGTTCGATTCTCACTGGGTTCCCCATAATTTTGGCTTTGCGCCACATCTAAGCTATACTAAGAAAACTATAAAGGATGGCTCAACATGGTGTTATGGTTAACAAGCTTGTCTTGCTAGATCAATTATGACTGAATAGTGTGTTCAGTCCTCATTGGGTGTCCCATAATTTGAGCTTTGCACCATATCTAAACAACACTTAGCAAATCACTATAACAGAAGTGTTTGCACATTATAAAAAAAAAGCAAAAAACAAAGCACTATTTAAAGTTTTAGCAAAGGTAACATGGCTTTGGTGTATGTAGCGTCATGGATATGGAAAGTGGAAATAAAGAGCCAAGTTTGAATTCCGGATCAGTCAGTTGTGCTCACATTCTTGTAAATGCTTTTGGCAAATGGAACACTGAACAAATGGACACTAACTTTCTCATTATTCATGGTTCTGTTTATAGGAATTATCATATTTCCAATCTTTTATTAGCTCCCACCAAGATTGTCCTGGTATTTTTCTTAATATATCTTTCTACTTGTTAAATCAGAGCTCTGCTACAGCAGCCCCCTTCAAAATTTAACATTTAATTTTTTTTATATGTGCTTATGAATATTATTTGTTAGATTTTTTATATGCCAGTTATATTTACCCAGCCTCCAAGGCTGAGGCTGGATGTGACACAAGGTCGTTTTAATATACTTGCCCAGCCTTTGCAACCACTGTCATACTGGCATTGGTATTACATCAACCCAACCTCTTTAGTGCAATGAGGAAGGTGCTGTCGCAAGGTTGGAAGGCCCAACGTCCAAGCATCTAAAATGTGCAGAATCATAGCTTTATTTACAGCACAGGTGGCATTAACCATGCCTCAGTCAATCCTTCTCTAACATTGGAAGGCAATTAGTCTAACAGAATGAAAACTAAAAAGGAGCCTAAAGAGATATACACTACATCATGCAATCTTACCAGTGACACACCCACTGCTGCAGAAAATGGGATGGAACTACGACTCTAATGAATTACAGGAATCGTGACTAGAACATGTCTTACAGAGGAGGAAACATCTTTAAAACACTTCTTTTTTTACAAAACAGTAACTGACAATTTCCCTTAAATTGCAATTAAAATGTCTTTAGAGGCATAATAAAAATATAATTGCTATTTTCTCTCAAATACAGATTTTCTATATTTAAATTCATTTACAGATCTATCAAAGGGATGAAATTTAAATTTTTATTATTGCATTAGTCCAAAATTTAAATATGTCAGCAGATAGCTATTAATGTCAACAACTGAGCACAAATAATTATTAATTAAAAAAATTAGTAATTAATGTATAATATTATCCATAACTACATGTACAAGAATGTCATTTTTGATAAAAGTTAAAAAAATAACCATAAATACATAAAAAATGTTTATATTGTTGAAAATTCCTTTTTCCACAATATAGCTATTTGAGTTATGTTATAATGCATATTACCTAAACAATAGTAATAATAAATATTTTTTTTTAAACATTAAAGTATATCTAATTACATCTCCTTAATGGCTGTTGCGAGCTGTTAATATTATAGAAACACTTATGATATATATTAATCAGTCTTAACATTATTAGAGAGGTAAGATTATTGAATTAAAAAAATAAGAAGGCATTACCAGAAATTTAACATTGAATGTTAGGCTGTACTCTTTATATTATAGAAGAGCTGACAATAAGGATTAAACATCCTTAACAATAATAAAAACATGGGATTACTGGATTAGACAAATAAGAAAACATTATCAGAAATTTTAGCATAAAGTCTAAGAAAGCATTAAAACGTACCGTTTAGCCACCTAGAATCATGCTGTTCAGTTCGTATCATTGCCCTGAATATCAACGGGTCACGACCTGAGGTGTCTGCTACTGTAGCTGCAAAAAGCTTATTATCTGAAAGAAAGAGACAAAAAAAGGATTTTTTAAAAGAATATAGAAGTGCATATAATATAAGGATTTCCTATCCTTGTTGTTAGTGAGAAAGATTTTGTAGCTCACAGTACATTGAAACAGAGAGAGAGAGTGACCCCACTTCCCATGTATCAGGCGACTGTCCTAATTACTTCTTTGGTAGGTTAGAGTGGAGTGGACCTTGTGTACATGCAGCAGGCCCTTTCCCAGTAAGTTTATAATATATTTGTTTCTCTTTTTAGGTTATATCTTTCTTATGGCCCCTTTCAATTTTCATATGGAGGAAATTAAAAATAAATGTCAATAACTATATATATATATATATATATATATATATATATATATATATAACAATCACTTGATAAGACACCAGAAGCGTTGAAACAAAATGGCTACAAAATGGCTATTTTTGTAGTGAATTTATAACATATTTATGTTCGAGTGTGTATGTGTGTCTGTGTACCTCATCGGGTGTACGGACATGCATCTATGTTTGTGTTAGCATGAGTGACATCACAACGACTATTCCCCCTAACTTTCATAATAACACCAATACACGCAATCTACATAAACCCAAAATTTTAAAAAATTAATCAGTTTGTCTGATGATCGCAAAAGCATGAAACCCAGGGCCACAAACTCACATCAATCCAACCAAATATGTTAACTCTATCTCTGATATTGAGCACTTTCTAATAAGTACCGCGCATATAATATATAAATAATAATGTTGGATTAGAAATAAATCCACCATTAATTCTTTAGAAATATATATATATATTTTTTTTTCACATGGAGATATATATATATATATATATATATATATATATATATATATATGTCTCCATTTGAAAAAAAAATATATATATATATATATATATATATATTTCTAAAGAATTAATGGTGGATTTATTTGTAATCCAACATTTCTATTGCTTCAAATTTTATTATAGTGGATACTTTATTTGAAATATACAAACCATTTTTATTTATTAAACAATGCATGTCATCGGCCTGCGCATTCGAGAAATCTTAAGGAAAAAGGAGGTGCAGACCGATAGACATAATACAAATTGTTTAATAAATGAAAATAAGTTTTCTATTTCAAATATGTCCACTATAATAATGTTTGATATATATATATATATATATATATATATATATATATATATATATATATATATATTAATAAAAGGAATGACAAGAGACAAATCTTTTATGACTACATGTTTCATTTAAAAGGCTTTTCTCTTTTCTTATTTTTTCTATTAATGTAGTCTTTGCAAATCACAGTTACAATGTGTCGGTCATGTTGTGCGGATGCAAGATGGTAGAATTCCAAAGATTCTCATGTACAGCCAGCTTGAAGGTGGTCAACAGAATGTTGGCCGACACTTGCTCAGGTTTAAAGATAAGCTGAAAAGTAACCTTGCAGCTGCAATTATTGCACACACTGATTTGGAGAATACTGCCTTGGATTGCAAAGCTTGGAAAAGTGTAACTTACACTGGAATCAGGAATTTTTCGGCGGCAAGCGTTGTCAAGCTCCGTGAAGCAAGAGAAAGGAAAAAAGCCTCAGAGGGTGCCAGAGAAATGCACCCTCTTTGCTCACACGCTTGCCCAATCTGTGGTTTTCTTTGCAAGTCATTAGCAGGTCTGAAATGTCACTCTAGATTCAAACATAAAGGTCATTAAAAACTTGTCGGAACCTCATACGTCGAAATCGACGGGAGAGTCCATCATATTAATTTTACACATATTTATATATAAGGCCAGTGCAAAGTTCTCATGAGCCCCCCACTGAATTTATGATACAAGGCTCCTCGAATCTATGAAATTGGACCCCCATTCTAATACATAGCAATTTTCATAAGGCAGTGTTCATATAAAATACAAATTTTATTGTCACCTAATTATGTGCAATAATGAATGATATATAATATAATGAAACACATCAACTAGAAAAATTGAAAAAAAATACATATCTTAATATAAATTAGGGACATGTAATAGATAATTTCATCTTAAATAAATCAACAATGTTTATGACAATTTTTTATCATAATTTGAAATTTTTCTTGTTAAAAATTTGAATAATTCTGACATTCAACATTAGGGATAGAAAATATTGAATTTGCAGATTTGGACAAAAAATCTGCAAAATTTTTCATTCTTTTAATACTAATCGTCAATGTGCTTAGTTTATGTATATAAATGTATATAGAATAAACAAATGTTGATAAGACAGTGAGGGTCACAAATCATTACCCTGGACCCCCAATCAGTTGGGGAATTTGGAAGTAGTATGCACTGGTCCTGTTTATATATACATATGCATATATTTACAAAATGACAAACAATCCACAGATTGCAGAATAACATTTCACATGATATTTCAACTAGTTCTAATAAAAACAGATAATATCAGCTGAAATTCACACATTTTATTTATATTATATATACATATATCTTGAATTATTTTTGAAAGCTGTCTGCTAATAGGATTTTTATTACAAAAACATTGACTTGCATACATTTTCATAGAGTGACATTAATACACACACTCAGATGTTTGCATTCATTTATTGAATAAAGGGAAAATTAAGTGTTTTCTTAGACTGTTGCCTTTATTTATCATCTTTAGCTTTCAGTCAAAATATTTTCTCTTATCGCCGTTACGCAATGGCATACTTTTCTTGCCATTGACAAAAATGATACTGGTGACCTGAAGACAAAGAGAAATTATAATTTGCATACTTACCCACAAGTAAGGCAGTGCTGTTATGGTTGGGGTCAAAAGGGCAATAAGCAACACCATTTTGGTATCTTCTGCGGACATAGCTACCTCGCTGTAAAAGAAAGTAATCAATATAGATTGTGCAGTTGTTGCAAAAGGAAAAAAAAAGCTTCTAAGATTCAGATAGGAAATATGTACTTGTGAAACAGTTTTATGCTTTTTTTTTCCCCCAACTTTTCTTTGACCAAGAGAAAATGTTTGATGTATTACATCATTGGAGGGACGATTATTTCATTTTTTTTTTTTTACAATCATTTTCAGCTTGTACACAGCCCAAGAACCACTCAAGGTATAGATTTATTGAATAAGAGGCACTGTTTATGAGGATATGTGGAGAGGATAATGGTTGAAACTAGACTTGATCAGGTTATGATTGTAGTGATCAGAGAAGCATCCTCCTGGGAGTCAGTTCCACAGAGCAGCAGTTAGTGGGAAGAAGCTGCTTGAGTAGAACTTACATCTTACCAATGTAATACACAGTGAAAATTTCTCTAAAATATTTTTGAATGTCCTACATAGTTGAATCTGGAAAAAAAAAGTTTCTGTAATGATCTCATGTTACTTTCCGAAAGAGTTGACTGTATTCTATAAAATATTTGGACTAATATCATGATCTTTGTTGTCTTTATGACAACGTTTCGACTGATAAGTGTTTCAGACCTCCTCAGATATTCTTTGCGTCTATTGCAGTTGTTAGTGAGTATTGGTCTGTATTGTTTTCTTCACTTTCCACTGTGATAAAATCAATAATCTGAAAATAAGTCAAGTGCCATGCATAATAAATGCTTGGGTGATCATTTCCCTTTTACATTTTAATCAATCTGAGAATCAGTTACTATGTCTTCTGCTACGAAAGTTGATTCACTATGTTGTTTTAGACTATTTTTCTCACCAAAATCTAGCTTACACATGCCTACTATTCATCCATACACTGATTGCTTCTATATGGTCTGGTGCTTCTGCTATGTATTTAGAGGTTTTTGATGAAATCCATTTAAGAATCTGCAATGTTATCAGTTCTGATCTGTCATCTAAGCTTTAGTCACTTTCTCACCACTTTCCTGGCTTTTCTATAAATATTTTTATGGTAATTGTTCTGACGTTCTTTGGTACTTCATTTTACAATTGAAATTGTTAAATATAACAATAATTTATCTACTAACAATTTCTTTTCCCACACTTCTCTCTTCTGGAACTCTCTTGTGGCGTCTTTCTTTCCAGTCAACTTTGATCTTCAAAAATTTCAAAGCAATCTTAATCATTGTCTTGTTAATTTTCTGTTCTTTCTCATATTCTTTCACACTTTGTAAACCATTGTGTCTTAGAGGCTTTATTGCTTTCATCATCTTCAAATCGAAAATTCTTCCCAGCCATCTCTGTCAGACACTGCTGTTGGCAAGTCCTCCAGTTAGCATCCAGAGTCATCTACAAGTTGGTCAATGTATGTGCGATGAGGTCTTCCAATCAATCTTTTGATGCACAGTGGGTTCCATAGGAGGGTGTCACTCTCTGACTTACTTCTCCATGAATGACCAGTTTATTTATTGCATTATTTGGGGTGAAAAGATATTAAAAAAATGCCTCTAAGTAAATGTAACAAGCCCAAATGGAATTCAATCTTGACTCTCTGAATTCTAGTTAAAAATACAGTTTGTAAAATACAAAAGTGAATAATTCATTTTTCTCAAAATATCTAAAAACCATTTTGTTTCTTTTTAGGAAGTTGAAGAAAATCTAAGTGAAAGAAGCTTATTTGCCTGTTTTATATTCCTTCCAAAAAGATATTTGAGGAAGTGTGGATACAAGAACATTATTGTCATTAATTCTTTGTAAAAACAATATAAAAATCCACAAAGATATGATTAAATGCACAAGGTATTGTCTTTTTGTTACAGAATTCCAAAGATTCGATTTTAGGCAAAGTAAGAATGTCAAGTTTTGTATAAATCTATGAAGGAACTGGAACTTTAAAATACCTTTGTCTACTTTTGGTTTGAGGCTTCTATCTATAAGTATGGAGCTGAGGTGATTGACAACAGGAAAAGGAATAAAGACAGTTTTCCCTTTACCTTCTTCGATTTATTCTAATCTATATGTCTCTTGTTGTTTCAATCACTTAATATATATATATATGTCTGTTTATCTATATATCTATGCCAGTCTGTTAGTATCTATGATAAAGAACAAATCTTGAGTTAAATAAAAAATATCAACCTATCAAATAAGAAATTGTATTGTTTACAAAAGTAAAACATGGAAATAGCTACCTCAGTTTGACTTTATCTATCTATCTATCTATCTATCTATCTATCTATCTATCTATCTATCTCATTCTCTTTATTTCTAGCTTCTTTATATCTATCTTTTTTCTGTGTTTGTATCTATGCTTCTATCTCTCTCTCTATGCTGCTATATCTCTTTCTATCTGTATCCATATATATATATATATATGCATATATATATATATATATATATATAGATATTTATCTTTCTCTCTCTCTCTCTCTCTATATATATATATATATATATATATATATATATATATATATATATATATATATATTTATTTCTCTCTCTCTATATATATATTTTTCTCTCTATATATATATCTTCCTCTCTCTATATATATGTTTTCTCTCTCTCTCTCTCTATATATATATATATGTATATGCATATTTTCTCTCTCTCTCTCTCTCTATATATATATATATATATATATGTATATCTTTCTCTCTTTCTACATATATATGTACCTCTCTCTCTCTCCATATATATATATATATATATATATATATATATATATATATTGATCTCTCCTTGCTTGCTTCATAAATATGTATGTATTTAACTAGCTTAAATTCTGTAGACATACATCTATCTTATCCGGTCCTGTCTATCTTCTTCCGTCCCAACACATAATAGCCTGTCCGTCAGTGGCATTTGCACAAAAAAGTCATGATGGGTGGGAATTTGAGACTATCAGCATGATGACATACTAAGGACACAGGCGTTGAAGAGTGCTTTTAGAGCAGAATTAAGGGCAGGCTGGGAGGAAGAAAACTTGGCGAACTGAACTTAGTGCAGCAAAGAGTATAACTGACTATGGTTGAACCCTCCTCATTGTCTGCACCCTTTGGGTCAAGTGACACGCTAAATATATTCTCTTTTTTGTTCTAAAATCTGGGAGTGAGTGTCAACGGCTGTTTCCATATGTTGTCTGAACATTGAAAAAGCAAGTAACACTGATATTGGCAAGCGAGTCAGTGGGCTGAGAATAGAAAACTTGGTGATGTAAAGAAATTGTATGAGTAAAAGAAAGAAAGTACAGACGAGGAAAATAAGGAATGTACAGATAAGAAAGAAAGAAAGAAAGAAAGGTGAAGAGAAAAGCAAGAGTGGGAGTAAGACAATATATATATATATATATATATATATATATATATATATATATATATAGAGAGAGAGAGAGAGAGAGAGAGAGAGAGCGAGCTAGAAAGAAAGAGAGATTGAAATGGAAAAAAAAGTAAACATTGAGACAAGAGATTTAAGAGAAATCTAAGATTTTAATTTTATTGCCTAAGTAAGGCAATAAAATTACTAACATGCAAGAGGTGAAAAATATGAGATAAAATAAAACACTATTAAGGAGAGAGAACAATAAAAGAACAGGAATTGTTAAGACAAAAGATAGCAATTGACATTGCATTTACATTTTTGAAGATCAAAGTTGATTGGAAAGCAAGAAGTGAGAAAAGAGGTCCACGAGTGAGAATTGTAGGAGAAGGAAGTGTTAGCATAGAACTTATGATTATATTTAACAATTTCAATTGTAAAATGATGAGACCTAGCTGCCAATCTAGTACTACTTTTAAATTCATAAAGTACTGAAGAGGAAAGATAATTGCTGTGAAAATATTTATAGAAAAAACATAGGTAAGCTATATTATATTGGTGGAAAAGTGAATGAAGCTGATGTGCCAGGTAAGAACTAATAACATTGCAGATTCTTCTTTGGATTTCATCACTAATCTCTAAATACATAGCAGAAGCATCAGACCCTATATGTTAGAAATATTCAGTGCATAGACCAGGGGTTATCAAACTATGGCCCTGGGCTGGATCAGGCCCACAATATCCATTCATCTGGCCCACCACTGCACTGTGCCACAAATGTGCTAAAATATAATTATTTCTATGGAATTATCAGTTGATTGTAGTTAAATTATCTATGCAGAAAAAATTAAAATAAATGTAAGTAAAAATACTAAAATTTGGCCAATCTGATTTTTGCATCTGATAGTATAAAACTTTTAGGAAAATTAGTGAAACAAAAAATCTTTTGACTTTTGATATCCGAGCACTTTCTGTGTAAGTTCCTGCAATGAAGTTTCTAAGATAAGCGAAATCAATCCTTATCAAAGATAATTGTTGATAAATTAAAAAGATTGAACCAACAAATGAAATTAACAATAAAAACAAATTAAAACATTCTAAAAGTAATTCTTAATTATAGCAAGAAGTGAAGACATGCTGAAAATTACTATTGAAAGACAAAATGGTGTTTGCCAGTTTTTCAATCAACACTTATTAAGAAATGTTGATCAGCTTAAAAAAATAAAACAAAATTACCAATAAAAACAAATTAAAAGATTCTAAAATAATCCTTGTCTATCTCTTTATTAAGAAAAATAAAAGTGAAAAACATAATAAGTGGAATATAGCAACAACTCTAAGTACAAGCTTATGAAGCTTTATGTGACTAATTCAGTTTTAGTGCTAAAAACATTTATTATTTATAATGGATAGTTACAAGCAAGTAAGGTGAAGGGATGTCCTTATTTTATTACCACAGTAACTAACTTCAGTAATACCTGGTAATCTTAGCAAATAGAGAAAATCTTTTTGCTTACAAAAAGATGGTTGTCGTCTACAAATCAAAAGAGATTCTAAGAGATTCAAATAAAATGGCGACCGCGTAACACTTAGAAATTTTGAAACAGTTGTTTGAAAAAATGTCAGCACAAGCAGATTATCAATAAGATGCTCGCCAATCACTGAATCCAAAATCTTCTGAGTACGTGTCAATGTTGCAGTATGATGCGATTGGCCACTTCTTATTCAAAATGCAGCTTAATCTTTTCAAATCTTTTAAATTTATCAGCAATCCTCTTTAATATGGTCTGATCAAAAAGCAAACTGCTTCAGAGGACTTACACCACATTTATTTTTTCATAAGTCATTTTCAATGTTTTCACTTCCGCATGCTATTCTTTAAATTTGTACCACTAGGGAAAACTGGTTTACTCGTAAAAAATAGGAAAACAATTTTTGACGAATTTACATTGATTAACATTCCACTGCCTACAACATTTTTCAGAATAAAAAAAAAATTACATTTTTATTCATTTTAGAAGGGAATCCTTCTCATTATATAGACCACAGCTTTTTTTGAGTTATATGTACTTTTTTGAGTTATATGTACTTTGTTTTTATTCAATGATGTCAAGTTTGAAACTCTGCTTACATCTTTGATAACTGCATGATTTAGACGTCCTTTTTCCAAATTCAGCATTAGGTTGGCTGTTTTTTGGCTAGTGGCATATCAACCTCTATTTATTATTTAATGACAAAATCTAAATATTTTGTATGCAATTTTTTTCCTTTTAATTTTGGAGATGATAATGGTTTAGTCATACAAGCCTTACTAATTAACCCATAGCTGAGAGGCAAAGAGGTGGATTCATATCTTTTCCAAGGGTATTTGCACCTAAATAAATATAAGGAATCCAACAAGAATTGGAACTTGGTTCTCCAGTTAACAATTCTAAGCCATTATGCATCACACCACCCACAAATCCAAGATTACAGCACCTCATATTCCCAAGTGGTTACCCATCTAGGTACTGATCAAGCTTGACATTGCTTAAATTCGGTGGTCGTACAGGAACTGGTATTCGAACATGATGTGGCCATAAGCCACAGGATTATTGATTTCCTTTCTTCTTTGTTTATGAATAAGTACGTTCTAACAAAACTTATTCTTTTTCAGGATGTAGACAATTATAGCTCAACATAAATACTTGTCCTTTGTAGCTCTTAGTAAATTTTGTTTTTTCTCCATCCCTCCTAATCCTTGTTCTTCCAACTATTTACATAGGCTAATTAGGTAGCTTATTTGCTGTTTTTCTGTGTCTATCTTACCTTTTATATGTCCTGTCAGTGTAAAATTCTCCAAGCCTGCTTTTCACATTATGTATCATAAAATTTTCAATGATCTCTTTATAATGCTTTGTTTAAATTTTCTCTAAAATTTACCAACTTAACACTTGTAAATAAAAATAAAGTAAAGATAACTCTTTAAAAAATCAGGGATCAATTTGATATTATATTTATGTTATGAACAGGACCCCCACCATCTGAAAAATTAAAAAATAATATTTTTCAACTGTGACAAATTTTGTAAATAAAGGAAAGTCTAAAGAATGAAAATCAACAAAAATTACTACTACTACTACTACTAATAATAATAATTATATATATATATTATATATATATATATATATATATATATATTAGTAGTAGTAGTAATTTTATTATATATATATATATATATATATATATATATATATATATATATATATATATATGAAAAGTGTATATAAATATAAATAAATATATATATATATATGTATAATTATCTATATATTATATGCTGTACTTATTAAAAGCGTGAAACCCAGGGTCACAAACTCACATCTATCCAACCAAATATGTTAGCTCTATCTCTGATATTGAGCGCTTTAGCGATCGTCAGACAAACTGATCAGTTTTCATGCTTTAGCGATTGTCAGACAAACTGATCAGTTTGTCTGACGATCGCTAAAGCATGAAACCCAGGGTCACAAACTCACATCTATCCAAATATATACATATATATATATATATACATATATATATATATACATATATATATATATATATATATATATATATATATATATATATATATATATATATATATATATATATATATCCCTATTTTCCATGGTGCTGCTAATTTCCTTCAGTAATGCTCTACTACCAAGAAGCTTTATCTCATTTTCTTAAAAAGTGAAATATAATGTGTAGCACAAGTAAAACTCAAAATGAAAACAGTGCAACAAATCTGTGGCATGAGGAATAGGGGTAGTAAAAGACTTTCGATAATGGAGAAATGATAGCCAAGCTGTCATATCAAATGCTTAAAAAACTTTTAGAAGCCCTGAAGGTAAATATTGCAGAGAAAAATACATGGTCTTTATTTAATGGTTTTGTTGAACACATCTAGATAAAATGACCAACCTTCTTTATACTTTAAAGGTTTGTTGTTCTTTTCAGCCATATTTTAATGGCTTCCATCTACTTTTTTTTTTAGCAGTAAACCTGTTTTTAACTTTTTCTTCTATCTCTAGCCTTTCTGCTTTTAATATACCTTCATATTTTATTATTTCTTGCTTTTAATGATAATGTTTTTCTTTGTATATTAAATCTGTTTTCCTTTCACTCAAAAATCTATTTGGTATTATAATTTATGTTGCAGTATAAACCATATGTGGGTCCTGTGTATGTTGAAGAAACATAAATGTGTCTGAGCAGATGTCTGCAACAAGTGTTGACTAGCTGGAAACAGGTAGTCATATATAAATATGTTGTTTAAAATAATTTTTAATTTTGATTTTTTTAATTTTACATGCCGATGATATTATTTTTTCTGGAGTTATGTCAACTCAAAGGTACCTAAAAATTTTAATCGCTACTTTTGTATCCATTTTTATTAATAAAATATGATCCCTTTCTTAAAGATCATTTTATCATGATGTGGCAATAAGAATCTGTATACATATATATATATATATATATATATATATATATATATATATGTGTGTGTGTGTGTGTGTGTGTGTGTGTGTGTGTGTGTGTGTGTGTGTGTGTGTGTGTGTGTGTGTGTGTGTACACACTTGCACACAGATTAAAAAATAAATTTTTAATATAAATCTTATGTTATCATAACTCTTATTAACATGTTCTTTAACATATTATTATTAATTTAACTTAATCTAAAAAATTTCTAAATTTAGTTGAATTTGATAAATTAATTCACTTATTAAAAGCTATTTAATATTAAGTTAATAATTTAAAATAAATCAATCAAGTTCATCAGAACAATTGCCATGAAAGTATCTATAGAAAAGGCAGAGAGAAGCTGCATTATGGCAATGGGAAAGTGAATGAAGATGGGATGCCAGGTATCCTGTTGTTAAGCAAACATTGACTATATTCTTAATTTAAACTAATTATCTACTTTCAGTTAAATTTATTCATTTAAAAACTATTTAATATGTATTTAATATTTAAAAATGATTAAACATAGATCAAACTGAATGAAATAAATTTTGCAGAAATGAAAAAATAAAATTTGAAATAAAATATATTTAAGTCAACAGTTATTGTACTGACCTTAATCTCGTATGAACGACAGATTGGCTTGAATGCATTTGTGCCACATACGAAGAGGTTTGAATTATTCAGAGCAATCACCCGAATATAATTCTGACATAGCTCCTGTAAAAAACAAAAAAAACAAAGAGAAAAAAAGACAAATTAGATCCAAGAAGTAATAAATAATCTTATTTACATTATTTACAGTTGGACAAATATCCTCATCTTTGTTGTCATGGTTTTCTACTGTTTCTCAGCCTTCTCCAGGCATCAGGCAATCCAGATAACCTTTAGAGAATTTTGAATTGAACTCTTTTTAAAAGTAAATCACTTCTTGATTAGGAAGCTTTAAAATTCCATTTTTTTTTTTTTTTTTTTTACACAGGTGTTTAAAGTAAGGTTAAAGTTAATGTGTTCCCAAGGATGGCCAAGTGGATAAAAGCGATGGTTGTGTAATCCAAAAAGGGACTTGACCCAAAGAATTGTGAGTTCAATACCTGGAAAGGGAACAAAAAACTTAGAGAGTTGACTAACTAAAAGAATTATCTCAAATTGAGATATCCCACCCAAAAAGGCATGGCATGTGAAATTAGAACAATCTACCCCATTAAATAAAGGGTTTGTTTCAAAATCCCAATGTATATCACCTGAAGAAGGCCTGAAACATCATGAAAATGGCAATGAAGATGAGGACAACAATGTAATTAGTGTAGACATTTAAAGGTTTGTCAACCCACCTTGTCTGTCATGGTAGGTAGCATTCTATTTAGAAAGAAAGGAAAATAAACCCTTCTCTTTCTATTTCTCCTCTAGAAGGCAGTATATGTTTCATCATCTCCAGGGTAATTATGGACATTCCGTATAAGCTAAGAATCTTTCCATTATTATCCTACAAGGTACCACCATAGGCAAAAAGGAGAAGACAAACAGAGAAAAAACACTGGTTGACAACATCTCACAAATGAGACATATGGAAAAAGCTGCTCAGATGCTCACCTACAAAGCAATCCCCATGACAATCCCTATCACGAGACAGATGATGATGATGATAAAGGGTGGTGACTTTTTCCTTGAAATAAGGCCTTGAATTGGACAACTGTCAGTTGTTAATTATGATGCTTTAACACAGTTAATGAAGAGGAAATCCTAACTACTAGCAGTCAAAAATTTTCCAAAGAAAAATTTATTAAGTACTGCAAAAAAATTTATTAATGTTGAAGCTTGAATAAGCATGGAATAATAATAATACAACACAAAATGTACGTAACAAAATGTATTGAAACAATGAAAAAAGGTACACAATATTTACAGGTAGTTTTGGTATATTCTTGGGAAGACTGTTCCTGCAGAATGGGTTGACTAAGTCGCAGTCGGGCAGAGTCTCTGGATTCGATCTCTTAATCTTCCCTCGTCTTCCGGTACCAACCCATATTTATATGGTCGGTACTCCACTTATGTAAATTAGGTGTATCATACACAACAATTAAGTACTGTCTTTTTCGTTTTTTTATGGTTTATCAACCTTTTTCAGGTTATTTAAAGCCAGAAAATATTTTTTCAAATTTTAAGAATATTTGTAAGATAATAATGGTTTTCTGATACATTTTACTAATTAACCCATAGCTGATGTGAGAAGAGGTGGATTTATATTTGAATTTAGAAACCCAACAGGAATTGAAACTTGGCTCTTTGACTTCCAATTCCTAGCCATTATCCGTTACACCACACACACATCCAAGCTTACAGCACTTAGTATACCCAAGTGGTCACTTATCCAGGTACTGATCAGGCTCAACGTTGTTTAACTTTGGTGACTGCATGGGAACCAACATGATATCGCTGTAGGTCATTCCATTTCCAAGGAGCTCATTTAATTGAAAGATACTATATGTAGAGAATTATATAAGCACCTAAATACTTAAAGATCAATAAAAGACGAATATATTTTTGATACACAATATATAGTTTACATGTTCAATCATTTTCATTTCTTTTAAAGTAGTCATATATACCAAAACAAGAAGATACGTAGATGCTGTCAGATAATGTATCAGTGTACAAGGCAGTGAGTGGATGTCCCTGTTACCCTCCACCCCAGTACCCTGGTTTTCACATGTTCACTAAAGAAAAACAAAATGTAGAAATATTCTTCAGTATACAAAGAACACATTGAAAAGGACAACAAAGAAAGAAGATAAAATAATTGATTTATTGAATATTTTTCTTCCTTTTCCAAAGAATGGAAAGCATTATTTGATTGACAATGATGGTGGAAATGAGGGAATGGAGCTGGTGGTTGTCTTAATAAACAGAATATAGAAATAGTGTTGTTGTTGTTCTTGTTGTTAAATGGTGTTGGCAGTGGTGGCTGGTATGGTTGGAGGTGTTTCTTGGAGTAATGGTTATGGCATTATCACTGATATTTATTCCACTTGAATAGAAGATTTTATAAGCACATCAAGAGAAATTCCTATTTAGCAACCAAATCTGACAAAACCAGAACAGGAATGGCTACTTTTTCACCCAAAAAGAATTTTTTTCTTGCTGTTAATTTATTAATTTATTAATTAAAATAAAAGAAGTGAATTAGCAAAAAAAATTCTTCTAAATAAATGAATATTTTTCTTTCTAAAGTATTTATTTTTAGTTTTTGGCATTTACAATCATCTAAGAGTTCTCTAACCCCTGCAATGAATGGAATGAACTCAGTCAGAATTCAAACATGGTTCACTGATTTCTCTTTCTATGCTGATAGTCAATACACTACCCATGTGTCCCAGATCAGTTACAGCCATTCATTAACTAAAAAAGGAAAAAGAAAATCAGAAACAGAGTTCGTTGAGTGTAAACTTTAATTTGTCATTAATTAGTTTTTAATTATTTAATGTATTATCTTGGAAACTTATTTCTTTTAAATACCTGTGAAGTATTTTTTTTAAATTTTTAATAAGTATTTTAAAGTCATTTCAATATAATCTAAAACTCTTTAACATTGTCTGGCATCACTTTTGACCTTCAGAGATAGCGGTTCTTCTGTGTCAAGTGTTGGTGATCATGGCACTCCACAATTTCCTATACTTTGCAGTACTTAATAAATTTTGTTTTTTTATCTGTCCAAAATCTTGTTCCTGCATCCATCTACTCAAGCTTGTAAAGTAGGTTATTCACTGTTTTCCTTTGTCTCTCTTGTCTTGTGAGTGTCAAATTTCATAAGCCCACTTTTCTCATTATGTACCCTAGAAATTTCAATGATCTTTTTCTGATGTTAACTATAATTGTCCTGTTTGTTTCTATTTTTTCTAAAAGTTTGTCGTTGCTCACATCTCTGGTCCATGGTATCCTCAGCATCCTTTTGTAGAACCAGTCTCTTTTTCATCTGTGCGGAGGTTGTCCAGCATTCACTGCTATATAGGAGGACTGATATTATGTAACTGCTTAGTACTCTTTTCTTTGTTTCTAACAAAATTTTTCTATTTGTATTTATGCAACATCCTCACAAGGTCAAGTTGTGATACATGGTTGGTTTAATGTGGGGAGCCCGAGTGTGTAAACCTGGGCTAGAAACAAAAATTCCCTGAGACCCTGCAACTGTCAGCTGTGCTGGCCTTGGTGCAAACACCAGTCTTGCTCTCTGGTGCAATGAGAGGCCATTGGGCAGCTGTTCCCCAGGGGTTGGCACCTCTCAGTATAACTTTCCTCAATTTGCGACTCTGTCTTTCGATGGAGCCTGAATGCACTCTGCCCAAAGACAGAGACGCAAATGAGAGATGGTAAAGAAACGTGTTACAAACTACTCAAGAGTAATTTTTCTATTTCTTAATACTTTGCTTGGCTTTTTGAAGGACATCTTTCGCTATCCAAATACACCTTCAAACTTCAGTACCACATTTTTTGTCGTCTGTTAAAACATTTTGTAGATATTTAAATTGTTGTACTTATTTGATTTTGGTATTTATAGTTTGTAATTTGAATGTTGGACTGTTGCTGGCAATCATGCATTCTATCTTCTTGCAATTGAGAATTAGTCCTTATTTTGCTTTCCTTCACTATCTTCTGTAGGAGTTCTTGTAGTTTCCTTTCTATATCTGCTATCAACACTGTGTCATCTGCATATCTTATGTCATTAAGATTGTGGCTGCTACTAATAAATCCTGGTAGGTTTTCTAATTCTCTCCGAATGCCTACTCATTTATAATCCAATTCATTTCTCACCTTCTACTCCTGCCATTTAAAAAGTTGATGAATTTTTCATATATCTTCACATGATATCGAAAATACACTTTGATTCTAATTGCTATACAGTCTTTGTGTCTGTATAACTTCTGTCTCTTTTATTTTAAATCAAAGTTAAATCAAGATTCATTCATTTTTTAAACTACAGAAATGCATCAGATTTGATAAAAAAAAAAATGATGCAATCACAAAAATTTCAAAAGTTAAATAAATCAAAAGAGCGTGTAACTTTGTATGAGAATTCCCCCAGACAATACTAATTTTAAATATTAATTAGCTATTTATTTAATTAAAGAGAAGAAAAAAATTATATTTCTGTATTTTATCGCTGAACTAACTGCTGACTTGGATTAAAACATTATAATGGAGATGCCCAACTCAAAGGAAAATTTCTCTTACCACTATTCATGTTAGTCTCTGCTTACTGATCTGGCTTGCCCAAGTTTTAACCACTAGGCCACCTTCCCACTTCACCTACTGTGATTATAGGTTGATGATATTGATAAAAAACGTTCAACACTTATTACAGTGTTTTGATTTATAGGTAAAAAATCTATATTTGAGGTGCCTCAGTCCAGAATTGAAATAAATGACTGGTAAGGCAATAACTGCATGACCCAGGTAACCCCTAAAAGACTGATATGATGTCCGTAATCATTGGACAGGGTAGTAAAGGCTTTTATGTGGATGGCTAAAATCCTTACTATTGAGTCGCTGGTGGCAGGGGTTCTGCGATGTTAACAGGAGTTATGTAAACATTTGTTTTATGGAGATGGCACTGGTGTTTGCAGAGAAGATGGTGGTTGATGGAGAGAGAAGAAAAAAAAGTGTTAGAAGCTGAGATTGTGGTGAGAGCTAAAGAGATGGAGCCGAGGGTAGTGGCGATGATGGTGCTGTCAGTTTAATGATTTCAGAGAAGTGAATATCTCTTGACAGCCATCTTGAGAAATCACATCAAACTTCATTCGTCTTCACATCAGGCATAAACAAAGCGAAAGTAATGAAATAAGAAGTGAACATAAAAGGTAAAAAAAAAAATAAGTCATGGATTCCGGATTCTATTATTACTTTGACACACACTCAATACACATTCATTCCTTCATTTATACATAAGTAGTTCCATAAGGAAGGAAAAAGTACATTTATAAGTAAATATATAAATATACATAGATAGATTTTGAAATAGACATTTATACATAAATGCAAACCTATTCAAAAGCATGTATTTATATACACCTTGTAAATTACTGTAATCATATATATATATATATATATATATATATATATATAAAAATCTATTTGTTTTTAATCAATTTTTGACAAGTGTGTGTGTTATATAAACACACATGCTATATATATATCCATTTTATATATATATATATATATATATATATATATATCCACATTTATATATATATATACACACACACACACACACATAATATATATATATATAAATACACAAACTCATTACATATATCCACATTTTATATATATATATATATATATACACACACACAAGCACATAATATATATATATAAATACACAAACTCATTATATATATATATATATATATATATATATATATATACACACAAAAACACATCACATATATATATGTATATATATATATATATATACACACACACACAATTACATATATATATATATATATATATATATATATATATATATATATATATATATATATATATATATATATTTTTTCAAATGTAATGGGAATGAAAAAGAATATAAATTCAAACATTCATAACATTAATTTAAAAGAGGGCTCAATACCAAAAGTAAAGCAATAGTTATTTATTATAAGTTGTTACATATGAACACTACAAAGATGCATTTTTTTCGATGCTTAAATTTCATCAGGTGGGGAACAAAGATGGTTATATAACATGATGAGAGGCTTATAAGTTTAGGCATAAAAAAAATATGCATCTTTGTAGTAATTACTTGTTTGTTCATATGTAATAACTTATAATACACACACACACACATATATTATTTACATTATTCGGACTATTGTCCTCATCTTTGTCGCCATATTTATGACAACATTTCGGCCGTTGTATGCTCTGGTCTTCTTCAGGTGGTTGGAATTTCAAACTGAACCATTTATTTTGCTCACTGGGGTAGACTGTTCTAGTTCCACATGCCATGTTTGATGGATGTCAGTTATCAGTTATCTCCTGCTAATTTCCCTCTGAAAGTTCTCCACTGCCTTAACCGGGTATTGAACTTACACTCTTTGGGTCCTGTCACTGGATCTAACCAATGCCTTTATCCACTGTGTCATGTGTTGTGGAACTAGAACAGTCTACTGAAAGACCCTATGTCTGGCAATAGGACTCTACCTCATGCCACTCATGCAGGAGAAAACAATCATGGCTGTCAGACAATTTCTGTGACCACATTACCCTTACATCTGGCCAGTTACCTCCTCAGACTGCAACCCCTTTGATTATTATGTATAGGGTGCAGGTGAGCAAAGAATAAGTAAAACTCCTTGTAACTTCAAAGATGAACTGAAGGCAAGGATTATGGCAGCATTTATCAGCTTTTACAAGGAGACCATCCAGAAGAGATGTTGGGGAATCTGAAGGACTCTGGAGGCCTTGGTTGATGCCAATGGTGATTTTATTGAATAAATTTACTCTTTATCATTTAAAGATAGTTTTGTGATATTTTGATAAATATGTCTGTTAAAATGATATGTCAGTGTTATTTTCGTCTTTTTGTAATTTGGATGACAATTTATCTATCGCACCCAGTATATAGTACTTTTTATATTTCATATATAAAATTTTACTTACTTCAGATTTGTCTTTCATAAGACACTCAGCGACTGCTGACCGCGATGCATCCCATTTTGAATGCTGAAAAATAAGAAAGGCAAAGAATGTGAAATCTAAATATAACATCACTTAAATAATGACTAAATGTGGCTATTTTTAGTCTTTAGCAGTGGAGAATTATTGCATCCTGAAAGAGATAAATTAATACATTTTAGATGTATTGCATATATGCATGTATAAGGTGACTTCATGCATTGTGCAATTCCTGAATTTTTTTACTTGAATTTTAACCCCCCCACAAAAAAAAATTTACCTGTGTATAGTGCAACTGGTCACAGAAAATTACATGATTTTTAACCTATTCAAAAAATTACCCATGTATAGTGTGACCCCTTATATTTTGTATAAGAAACTGATCATAAAAAGGGAGAGTTGAGTTTCTATTCCAATTGGCTTCATTATATCCATTTAGATACAAATACCCTTTTGAAACATTTGAATCCACCTCTTCTCCCCCAGCTATGGTTTAATTATTAAGAGTTCTGGGATTAAAACATTATCTCAGAAAAAAGTTCTTACAATCTAAAAATATTTGTTTGTTTTGTTTTATGGCATAGCAACCTCAATTGGTTATCGAATGCCGACAAAATTTTCATTGTTGGTAATATTTTTTTCCAAAAATCTATTTCTGGTAATATTTTTCCCTTCAAAAATCTATTTCTGGTAAGAATTTTCCTTTTCTGGTAATATGTATTTCTTTCGAAAAATATACTGCTAGTAATATTTGTTTTTCAAAATGTATTGCTGGCAATATTTTTTATTTTTTACAAAGTATTTCTGGTATTAAAATTTATTTTTACATTTTTATGGAGTTTTGACCCCAGTTTGGGTGTTAATGATTTGCAATAGCTGGGGCCCTAACAGATTCTACCACCCTGGATCAGGGTAGACCCGGCAACATCAGCAATTATGATGTGGTTCCACGCTCCTCAAAACCTCCTGATCAGAGGCCTTGCTGTTGGATGTAGTTTATCGTTGTACCCGGAACGTGAATATATCTCTTTATAGTACTTGTTTTTCTAAAACTTGACACACAGGTTTCTTACTGCTCCTTTTCTGCTTCAGCGTGCACATTGGGTGTTAAATTTTCAATCCACCTTTCCTCATAATGGGTCTCCAAACTTTCAAGTTTTCAACCTCTTACCTTCTGATTGTTATGTGCTGTTTCTTTGTAGGTCCTATTTTTCTAAATATTATATTGTGCCATTGTAGGCATTGTAGATTTGTCAGTTTCAGAAGACTATGAAGTCTACTAGGATAGGTAATTAATCCCTTTTGTAGACGCCTGCTCAGGCACATAGGTGCTTCTTCAACATCCACAGAGCCAACCCATGCTGTATACAGCAGTTAGGAGAGAACACATAAACTGGTTCGA